GCCATCAAAGACAGGCTGTCGGCGTCGACCGTCGAGAGGTGCTTGAAGGGGATCTGCCGCACGGTCGCATTGCGGCCCTTTCCGAACACGACGCTCGCATAGCCCTGCTGGGGGCACGCAGCAAGGCCTTGCATGTACCCCTCGCGCCCATCAGGAGAACGCGCACGGTCGCCATCGCGCAGGCAGCAATCGGCCAAACACGAGGAGGGGAAGCAAGAGGAGTAAGAAAAGGAGGAGGAGGATTAACAAACACGATCGACGGAACTGCCCAACACACTCCTGTAGGGAGCGTTCACCCAACCACGGCCTGAGTGTACCCGCCGGGTCGTATAGAAGTCAGCTGCGACACTGTACAGAACGAAGCCGACAAAGAAGAGGAGAATTACACTACCAAGATTCATCATACTGATACTAATCATACGAAGGCGCTCGTCAGACGCGACCCAAACTGTTGACACCTAGGACACATAGAAAGGCACCTCGCGCACAAAGACTAGGGGCACTGGCCGCACAATCATGTCGGCAGCACCGTGATGTCCAGCGTTTCTGATTGACGATCTTGGCACGCCGATCCCGTCGGAGGGAGAACGTATCTTTACCAGCGTATGCGAGCGCGTGGCCAGCTGGGCAATTTAATACCCTCACTGGCGGCGGGGCGATGCTGCACCAGCGGCCTACGCAACCCAAGCAGCAACTTCGTCCTTCCTGGCTACACCAGCTGAGCCGACATCGTTCACGACCTGCGAGGTGGTGGCGGGAGGAGGCCTGACGACAAGCATGGGTCCCGCATGTGGCATACCACTGGAACGACCACCATCAGGCATGGACGACATCGCACACCGCCCCCGAAAACAACTCCATGAGCGGGAACCACTGCTGCTGTGTCCACCTCCTCGTCTTTCCCGCCCTTGGCCGACAAGAGAACCATTCCCAACGGCTGAGACGGCTGCTTTCGACCCACCTCCCGTGACCGGCAGCTCCTCAACGCGCTTGGAGCACGGCGCACATGCACGAGGTACCCCGTGCCCGCACGACGAAAACGTGACAGCTCCACACGGGCATCGGACCCCATTGACTGACCCCTTGTGCATCTCACTCGGCACGATCTCCGCCTCGCCAGTTTTGAAAGGGAGCGGGGTCCACTCCACGTACTCAACTTCCTCCCTGTCGTGCTGCTGGGCGTAGTCCGTCTACCTCCCCACTACGAGGCTAGCGAGCGGCTCGTGCCGCGCGCAGTTCCCGCTGGCTCTGATGCCGTCGGACGCTCCGATCTCTTTCTGACCCAGGATTTGGTGACCTCAAGCTGAGCTGTGCGGATGGCATCGCCGAGCCAGTGGGCATGGACCCCCGAGGCGTGGTCGAGGCGCCCGTGCAAGAACAGCGACAAGCCCAAATGGCGCAGCCGCGCGGTCTGCTCCCCGATCAGTGCCGTGTGCACCTCGAGTTGCTCCGCCGCCGCCTCCGCACACGAATCGATCGCCTGCTCAGCAAAACGCTTTCGGCGCTGGTGCCAGCCCAAATTCGCCGCAGACTTCCTGGCCCACGCTTTCCCTTCCGACTTCTTCGTCCTGGTCCACGCTTCCGCCTCTACCTCCGGTGCAGGGGGGCGAACTCTGGATGGGGCGCGCCACGGAACCGGCGCGCCCAACGCAGGAGGGAGCAAGAGAGGAGAACGACCGCGACGGAGCGAGCGGAAGCCGAGGGGCAGCAGGATGCCGCGGGGGCGGGCAGGAGGCCCGCAGGCGCCCAAGGCCCTCCCCCCAGCACCAGCAAACGACGGAGCCCGAGGGCCAGGACCGCCCTGCTGGCCCCGAGGGGAAGGTCGAGGCACCGGTGTGCCTCGAACGGGCGCGGCGAGGACAAGGAGCACGCGGCCTGCGGAGGCCCGAGCTCACCTGCACGGGGCCTAATTACCGATCCGTGGAAGAGCACCTCCACGGCCCCCCGCGCCACCAGCAGGAAGGCGAACCGCAAGTGGAACAGCGCCGAGAGGGCGCAAACGAAGCTCTCGTGGCCCAGCGCGACGACAAGGGGGCCAGCAAGAGAGGAGGAACACAGTAATCAACCGAGATCAAGGTGCAACGAGCAGCGAGCGCTGGCCACGAAGCGCTGCGCCCGGGCACGGGTGCGACACCCACTGCAAGGTGCCAGTGAGACTACGACCTTGCTCACGTCCTGGCCCTTGCCCCTGCCACTCTTACCAACGCGATGGTCGTGATCATCTTCACGAGGATGCTGGGAGACGCAGCCCGACGCCACGGATTGGTCCAGGACGGACAGCACGGACGACATGAGCGTGTGCCTGGAGTGGCTGGATAAGAGTCTCAACATCAAGCCCTTTCTCCAGCAGCATCGTCATCACGAAGATCCCCGGGAGGGTGGTCAGGAGCAGCCTTCTCCTCGCGAACTTCTCGGGCGCGCCAGCCGCAGGACGACCGACGGGCATGTGCGCGGCACCACACCGAGGAGACTCGTGAACTCGGCCTTGAGAGCACCCCGGTCCCCAGGGCCGCCATCGAGAGTGCTGTGGGATCTTGGTGTCTGGAGAGCAGTGCTTCGACCACACGCAAGAGTGACCCCAGGCGGACGTGACCTTTGGTGCGCGGGTTTCGGGGGGGCTGGGAGGCCAAACCCGAGAGCGCGAGCCGCTGCTGTCGCACCGCGTTCGGCCATCTGGGGACCCCAGTGCGCCTTGGCCGCGAATTACTTGGGGGGGCGATAAATGGGGGGGGGGGGGGGGAGAAAGGTGCCTTTCTCGGGCCCTCTAGGCCCTCGTCTAGGCCCTACAGGGCCCCTTTGTGGCCCTAAATGGCCCTTCTTTGGCAGTCCTCGCTGCCCCCCCTCCCATTTATCGCCCCCCACCCCCACATTGCTCGCCGCCCAAGCGCCCGCAACAGGGGTCACTCCGGCGCAAGGTCACTCTGCGTAGTGTGTCGGCGGCGAGCCTGGGGCGGAAGTGAGAAGGAGAAGGCCTTGTCCGAAGGCGCAGAAGTCCCCCGACCTTCTGAGAAGTTTTCTAAGCCTTCCCCGAAGACACAAACCCTTCAGAAGGCGCGAAGGCTTCTGAGAAGCCCCGCAGCCTTCTGAGAAGGCCTTCTCCTTCTCCTTCGGAGCGTCACGGCTTCTGTAGCAAAACCATCGAAACCCAAGAAACCCAGGGCACCCTGGCGGCGAGCATGGATTCCCACTCCACTATCGCATCGCGCTCGGCGATCGGGGGACCCCAGCGTGCCTGCACCGAAGGTCACTCCGGCGAAGGGTCGCTCTTACGTTTGGTCGACAGGGGCGCTAAGGGGCGCTAGAGCCGCGCCGCTCGAGCCGCCGAAGAGACCGTCGACGAGGATGAGCAACCGCGTCGATCTCGGGGATCTTCTGACCCGGGTCAATCCAGACCTGGGTCAACCGGGCCTTGCGGTGTACTGCAAAATCCTGCAAGATCCTGAAGGATCCTGCACCCAAGCCCGGGTCAGTGCAACCCTGGCCCTGCAGGATACTGCAAGGGCGCTCTGGCTGACCCCCGTTTGCGTGGACTCGGCGGCGAGCCCACAGGGGGAAGTGGGAAGGGGCGGGCCTTCTCAGAAGGCTCGGAAGCCCCCCGGCCTTCTGAGAAGTTTTGGAAGCCTTCCCCGAAGACAGAGGAAAACTTCTCAGAAGGCTGGAGGGCTTCTGAGAAGCCCCGCCGCCTTCTGAGAAGGCCTTCTCCTCCTCACTTCCCCCCCTCGTTCGCCGCCGATTGGCCCCCGTCTCTCGAGCCCCGACGATCGATCAGCCGACGAGGCCCGGCCCGCGCACACTCCCACGCAGGGGAGGACGAGGGCGGGCGGGCGGGCGGGCGCCTGCGCGCCCCTCTCGGCGTCCACGCCGTGGCCCGGCAGGGACCGGACCAGCTCGCTCGCCGCCGAGTGTACACGTCGTTCATTTCTAATCGTGCTCATTTCTAATTGTGCTCGTTTCTGATTGTTCCTGGCCCCCTGGTGGCCAGGAAGAGGCCCAGGATAAAAGAAGTAGACATGAAATGACCTTGGCCCCCAAACAACCGGAGAACTCTCGAAGAATTAGAAAAAAGAGCAATGTGTAGCCGCCGATGGCGACGACGAGCGCAGCCGAGTGGTGCAGGGCGCTCGACGTGGCGACGCGGCGCTGCGAGGGGCGCTGCTCGCGCCGTCGGCGCAAGGAGTCCGGGGCCGCCAGCAGCGGGGGCGCCGGCCGGGGCGCAGGGCAGGAGGGATGGGGGCCGGCGAACGGGCACCGCGGGCAAGGCGGCGCCTGCCAAGGAGGCCAGGCAGGCTGACGATGAGCGCGGCCCCACAGTGGCCGCCCTGAGGGGAGAACGAGGAGAAGGAAGAGGAGGAGGAGGAGGAGGAGGAGGACGAGGAGGACGAGGAGGAGGAGGAGGAGGAGGAACAGGATGGGGAGGAGTGGGAGGAGAAGGAGCAGAACCAGGACGAAAGGGGTGACGCGGAGTATGAGGGGGAGGGTGGTACGAAGGACGAGGAGAAGAAGGACGAGAGAGTAATAAAAAGGAGGAAGACGAGAAGGAGGATGAGGCGGAGGAGGAGAAGCAGGACGAGGGGGATGACAAGGAGTAGGAGGGGGAGGACGAGACGGATGAGTAGGAGGAGGGGGATAATAACAAACATGAGGATGAGTATGATGTAGGATGACGAGGAGCAAGAGGGGACGATGAGAGAGAGCGAGGGGGGGCCGAAACTGACTAGTGTGGGTAGGGCGGGCAGGAAACGAGGCGGAGCGGGAGTAAACGGAGGAGGCCAGCCAAGCAAGGACGAGAAAACGGAGGACCAGGACGATCAGGGCGACGACGAGGAGGGCGAGGCGCAGAAAGGAGGAGGAGGACGAGGAAGAGCAGGCGGCGGCGCAGAGGCCGGAGAGAGGCGGTGACCCAGCTGCGCGTCGCTCAACTCCAGCGCGCCGGCCGCCGCGTGGTCCTCGAAGAGGCCGTCGACGGTGCAGCCGCTGCGCCGCAGCGCGGCCCGGAGCTCCTCTGCGGCCCGCGGGAGAAGAGCTGGAAGCCGGCAGATGACCGCCACCTCCTCCTCCTCCTCCTCCTACTCCTCCTCCTCCTACTCCTCCTACTCCTACTCCTCCTGCTCCTCCTCCTCCCCCTCCTCCTCCTCTTCCTCCTCCTCCTTCTCATCCTCCTCCCTCTTCATCCTCCTCCTTCTCCCCCTACTTCCTCCTACCTCCGAACTGTGAACGGATAGACTGCGGGTCATGCCTAATGCTGTCCCCCCCCAGTGGCAATTGCCCCAGAATGTGGTGGTGATAAAAATCGAGAAGTCTACGCTCTTGCTGGGACGTAAAGAAGACAGACAGGTAAGGAGAGAGGGAGCAGGGGAAGTGACAGAACGCCGACGACGGAGCTACTCGAGCAATGGGAAGAAGTGGGAGAGGTTCAAAACCGTATGGCGCGTGGAACGGCTGGAGCGAAGGTGGTTGCAAAATTGGCATGGCCACAGTCGCCCAACTAAGAATGCGCAACGGCCGATTCCCCTGCCCATATGGGCACTCCTCAGTCGGCTCAGAGTCCCTCGACGGCGACATTCGCCTACCAAAGCAAACGCATGGTACCCGAAGTGGGAGTTCCACTGGCCACGGGGGAGGTTTACGCCTTCCTGGCGGTGGCCTTCTGGATGTTATGTTGGTTGCCCCCCGCCACATAACCGACCTGCCCCATCCACTACGAGCGAGCTGGAACTGAGCTTGCTGAGGACCCAAGTAGCTGTGTGGCACTGCGGCGTTGGCACAAGTGACGCTACAGTGCACTTGCTGTGTACCGGATTTGTTGCAGAACACATCCTGACCTTGCTGCTGAGGGCGGGCCGCCCCCAAGAAACATAACAAAGGTACCGAGGCAATGTGCGCAACTGTTACAACTACCACGTGCGCAGCTACTGTATATATACATATATATATATACACACGCAAAATGGCTGACGGGAGAAGCGGCACAACGTGTGAGCAGTTGAACGAGAGGCTGAGCGGAGAGCGCGGCGTCGATGCTGAAGGCGAGCGGACTGATGGGCGCGGATGACACGAGAGGTGGCGACTGTGCCGCGCCACAAAAGTGGGCATGTGGCAATGAATGTTGCGCGTTGCAGGAAGGTAGATCCCGGAGGGAGCGACGGTTCGTTGAAGGCCCCCTCAGGTCCTGGTGGATAGATGGCTCTTCGTGTTGTCGCCTCCGAGACCCCAGTACTGTCCTGGCAAGTAGCGGCTACCACCAAGGGAGTGCATGAGAGAGCGCTATCAAGTGGCCTCTTGGGGATAGGTGGTCCCACCAATTTGGCCGCATTATGGTTGCCTCCATCGCAATGGGAACCAACCTCGCTGTACGTCGGATAAGGTAGCATGTATGAGTGGGACAGCCGTGGCGGGTTTGGGAACCATGATGACCATGGACCACTCGCGTAGCGTGGCATTGTCGAATGGTTGCATGTGGCCAGTGGGTGAGAAAGCCGCGGCGGTTTTGGAAACACTGTGAAACCGCGGACCCACTGCATAGCATAGCGGCCCTCGTGTCGTTGTGGGAGTCGCCGTGTCGTGCTATCAGAAGCACGTCGGATAAGCTCCCCTGTGGGTAAGAAAGCCGCGGCGGGTTTGGAGTCCTGCGTCGTGGGCCCAGTGCGGCATATGTTCATCTATTGGGTGTGGCCAACGCCGTGTGCTGAGGGTGACTAGGGCGTGCCGTGCCTCGCCGTAACAGAAAGAGAGAGAGAGAGAGAGAGAGAGAGAGAAAGAGAGAGAAAACGAGAGAGAGAGCGAGAGAGAGAGAGAGAGAAAGAGAGATTGTGGTGCTGGAGTGGTGGGATCGAATGCCGTATGTAAAGACATGGTAGTTCAGCTGCTGCTTCTGCTGTCGTCGACAATGACTGCGGCATTTTTTGTCACAGGCACGTGGCACGCCGCTCTGGCAGCAGAGACGCATCCAGAGGCAGGTCACCGCGCAAGCCCAACATCATGACAATGACTGCGGCATTTCGGCGATCCTCTTACCTCCTCCTCCACCTTGATCTAAGTTCGAAAATCGAGGCTCTTGCGTGCTTTGTGCACTGCTGGGGCCTTGAGAGGCTCCGTAGGTCTCGGGGGACTGCTGGTGACCTCTGGGGAGCTGGCGGATGTTCAGCGATCGGCGAAGCAGAGGCCCACGCCACAATGCATCGAGCGCACCGTGCGTGGAATTAGGCGTGTTGATCCAAGTCTCTACGTCTTTCGCTTTCCAAAGCAATACTGGAATCAAAAGCGAGATTTCTGGTGGGACCTTCTGCGGCCCCTTACACCCAACTTTCCCGGACGCCCCGAAGCCCCCCACTCTTCCCCACCCCACATCACATTTGTAGCCTCGTTCGAATCCGAACGCAGCCGGCGCGATCTATCCTAAGAAGCCGCCCGGGAAAGAAGCGGAAGAGCAGGACGACGCCGTTACGAGAGCTACACAGGCTGAACACGAACAACATCAAGACGCATAAACTTTGCGACGGTGCAAACTCTCCCTGCAATGATAAGCCCAACCAGCCCTCCTCGCACCCCCCCCATAACCCGGCCAACCCTGCCGGACGAGAGGCGGAGGAGGAGGAGGAGGAGGAGGAGGAGGAGGAGCGAACGTCGCCTGAGAGGGCGCGTCTGTCTGTGAGCCGCGCTACGGCACGCCAGCCCCGCCCGACAGATCTGCGGGCAGCTTCTGGGCACGGCGAGCGGCTGCAACGGCGGTCGTCTGCTTGCTGTAGGTCATTGGGATGTCGTAGTCCTTCATGAGGTGGTATGCCCTGGTGGCCACGGAGAGCCTGGCGATGCTGTTCGGGATGCCGTTCTCGCCGTGGAACGGCTCGGTCAGCTCGGGGAGGCCGAGCCCCATCATGATGTTGCTGCTCAGCTGGCAGCGCGGTAAGCTCAGCTGGTGCCACATCCTTTCACATACTAAGTAGTGCTGGATGCTGTCGTCGGCGTGCAGGCACCCGAAGTGGCATGGGCGCTTAGTCGGGATCACGTGCATCCTGTGCGAAGTCATCCACGCGCCCGTGAGGACCTTCAAGGCAATCCACAGCCTGGAGGGCAGCAAGGTCGCGAGGTGGGTGCGGAGGCGCATCCACCGAGCGGGGAGATCATCAGGTACTTGTTGGACTTGAAGGTGGTTACGATGTGCGTCGGCGTCGGAGGGTGGGTCTTCGGCGCCCATGTCGTCGTCGTCGCGGTGAATGTCGTCCGGGTCGGCGTCGGGCTCCAGCAAAGGCAGGACGTGGTCAATCCAGCGGCGTCGGGCACGGTGTTGGGCAGCCTCGTGGCTGAGCAGCGAAGTACGACTGCGCGGCGATCGGCTGCGCGGCGACCCGCCCTGGCTCACTGTGCGGGACAGGCGGTGCTCCAGGAGAATGCGTCCAGGGCCGCTGGTGTCCCACGCTTGGTTGCGCATGTCGATAGCGATGCGGCGTCGTCGGGCGTCGGTAGTGTGCAGCGGCGGGAACAGGTCGGCGCCGAGCAGCTCGTAGAAGTAGGTGACGCACCAATGCCTCCAGTCGTCTTGGTCGTTGATGAATCGGTCGTTCCTCGGGCGGTCAGGCAGCCAGTGCGCGGCCCATGGGCGCGCCCTGTTCAGTCAAAGGCGCTCTCGTGCTCGTTCAGCTTCGCGTCGCGGTCCAGATGGCGGTTCTCGTGTAAGCTGGTGGGCAGGGTCCAGCGTGGGATGCCATGCGATCAAGCGGCGCTTGATGGTGTCAAGATGGTGTCGACGTAGAGCTGCTCGTTCAGCGACTTCATGTAGGCTCTCTGCGGCGCGATCTTTGCAGTGTTGCGATGTTGACGGCGCTCAGGTTGTTGAGATAGGCGAGGGGCATGGCGTTGAAGGGTGGCTTGCTGTCCTGCTCTGGCGGCGCGCTTGTGGCTGGCGATCATGGCGGTTCGCGCGCGGGGTCTGGGCCCAGCAGCGCGCGTCAAGCGCTTGAGATAAGATCCTTTGCAGCCAGCGAAGGTGGAGTTGATGGCGCCCTCGAAGCGCTGGGCGATGGCGTTCTTGATCTCCCAGCAGTCGTTGCACCGCGCGCCTTGCAGTGCAGTGGTTACGGGAAGCTGGTCGTATGCGGCGTCGCAAAGCTCGCGATGTGCGCGTCTCCACTCTGTCGCAGTGGTAGACGCCGTTATCCAGAGAGTGGCGGCCAAGTAGTTCTCGATGCCGGCGGGGGCCTCCGCGTTCGTCCAGAGCGACATCGCGAGGGCGTCGGACTTGCCGAAGCTGGAGGGGGCGACGCGCAGCAGCTTGCTGATGGCCTGCAGCTCCTTCTGCAGGATGCCCTCGGGTGGATCGAAGAGCTGGCCGACGTAGCCTAGGCGCGTGACGGCGGCGACGTTGTACAGCTTGATGCTATGCTAGATGGGAGCGTGCGAGGCGGCGAGCTTCTCCGCGCGGTCCCACCATTTCACCGCGGGGCCACGCCATTGGTCAGCGAGCGTGGCGCCTGGGCCCACGAAGAAGCCAAGGTAGCGGGCTGTGGACTCGATCTTGAATTTGAACCATGGGGCGTGGGCGGCCGCGAAAGCGCGTCGCATCTCGGCTACGAGGTCTTGCGATGGGGGGGCCCACGTCGGGGCGGCGATGCACTTCTTGGCCTGGAGCTGGAGGCCCGCAAGGGTCTCGGCTGCGATCATGTGGGGGGCGGGCACGCTGATGTCGGCCAGCCTGGCGAAGATGATGCCGAGGTCGCCGGCGCAGGCGCTGATGGGCCCGCGGTGGTTGGCGCTGAGCTCGCGGCTGATGGCGATGATGATGGGGTCGAAGAAGAGCGCCCAGATCGTGCCGCTCAAGGCGCGCCCCTAGGCAACGCCCGACGCAGCGATCAGGAGTGGGCGTCGTTCTCCTCCCAAGTCGAGGAACGACACGGGCCAGACGTAGCATGCCTGGATCAGACGCATCAGGTGGCCGTGGATACCCCAGCGCCCGAGAACGTTCCACATCCACTGGTGGCTGAGGCTTGGGAACGCGGCTGCGATG